ATCATCCGCAAATATTTGTTAAGGATTATAAATATAAGAATAACTTTAGCTCACATATAGCAAAATGCCTAATTGAATGCATCATTGTGATTCATTCTCAAATGATTTCTCGCCAGCGCGGGTGTGGCATGTGCCCTCTGACCGAGTGGTTTTGTTGCAAAATAACACCACTATATCACGATTATGGTCAAAACTTGTATATTCTCAAACGGTTAAAAGCTCATTGAGTAATGAATCATAGGGTGCACTCAATAAGACATAAAATTTTCTGATAGCTAAGATTAACTAAAATTTATCTTCATAAGCGAGCATCCACTCCAAGTCTACAAGGTACCCTTGAAAGAAGCAACCCATGGCAGCTGACAAGGATCCTTCGATCAGGAAGGATCGACTACCTTCTCTGACTAAGTAGACTAGGGACCATGATGGCTCGAGATGATGGAATCATGTGATCTTGATCGGATTCGTCGTCATTCGGCCCCCACCATCTGCTTTAAGTAGAAAAATAATAATTTTTATAATTTCAAAAAAAGTTCATATGTTGCTACTATATGTGAGGTATTTCGATCATACCTTTTTAATGACTAGTCTTATTTGAAAATGCTCTCTCATCATCGAGATGAGTACTTAATCATAGGTGCTTGCACCTATGTGAAACCTAGAACCAAATTATAAAGTCCTCAAAAAATGAGGGTGAAATCTTTGGGTAGTGTTTTATCCCAAACTCAATCTACCTTTTTAAAATTTGATCCAGAACATCGTTAAAACTCTCCTACGCAGGGGAGGCCAGGGCGCAAATTTTAGAGCCCGGCCACATGCATATTTAGGTTTCTTATAATAGGTTATGATAAATAATTTCTCAAATGTATTTTAAATGTTATGCTTGAATTTCTATAAACTATTATTAATTCTCATGATCAATAACTCCTTGCAAATCACAGAGATTAATTTTCATAATTTTTGGGGAAAAAAAAAAGCTTTAGCCTCTATCCCGAATAAGTTATATATATATCTCATTTAGTTCTATTCTCAATACTTATAATGGAGGTAGCAAGTTTGCAACATAATGACTCCATTTTGGATAACAATATATTCATGGTAGCCTTCTTTATCAATATTATAATCATAGAGAAGTTTATCAATGATAAGAATATCATAACGACACTCCTTACCTCCTATATAAGGAAAACATTTTCCATAAGATAAATAAAAGCTCTTTATATAGATCATTTAATAGTTTTTTTCAATCAACTTTCTTATTGCACATTCTCAAGAAAATTATTTTGTAAATCATTAAACATTAGATTTACTAGGTATCTATAAAGTATACATGTTAGGGGATCAAATGAGTCTTTATGTGATTTAATTAAATTGGGTATGTAAATTTTGATTGAGTTACTCACATAAGAGTTTTCTATCAATGAGGTGAAGAGGGATTTTTCTCCGCAAGAGCAAATAATTTCTAGCCTAAAGCCATAATTAAGTTGTTGATATTTATGTTTAGCTTGAAGGCAAAAATGTAAAGGAACGAGTTTAATTATGGAGCTTTTTTTCTTTTCAATAATTTTGATACATGGAATAATGTAACTTAAGAAGGTCGAGAATTTTATCATTAATTGGATAGACGCTTGCTCCACCCAAGTCATCCATGGTTATTATTGAGCTTAATACTAAAAATTTGGGTCTAACCTCACCATGAATTTGCCAAAGGTGTAGGGTTCAATTGGCCTGGTAGTTTGAAACTAGCTAGCTCTTTCATTTATTGCATGGAAGAAGGAATTAAATTGGCTAGTTATTACAATCACATGCAAATATCCAAAAATTTATTATGGATATTATGTCATATTAATTATGTGTGGGCATCAATGAAGTATTTTAATATACAAAATATAGTGAGCTTAATTCATTTGAAACATTATATTTTGTACATGATCATTAAATTAATAAATCAAAATTTGTATCATATAGAGTTGTAATTAGCCTAAGTTATGAATATGAAACTTGTTGGAATTTGATCTAAGAAAAAACATTAAAATTTTAATAATTTGGAAATAAAAGTAAGGATGTAACTAAGGTTCTGAAAATCAGATCGGACAACAAACTGGAAGAAGGAGAGGTTCACGGTTCGACCAATTTTGAACCTGGGTTTTTTTTTTGGTTAAAACTCACGGAGGGGCCTACGCGTTGATTTCAAAAATGAGGTTACAATGTCCTTAAAAGGATCCACTAGCTCACTAATGCTCGAACGAGCTACAATCAAAAAGAAAAAGAAACCGTCATCATAGTCTTTAATACTTATTTAAGAGTTTTAATATATAATATTTATATTAATTGTATAAGTTTATTATTTATTTAATATTAAATCATTTATTTAACTATTTAAATAAAAATTTTTAGAACGGCTGGTTATAAAAAATCAGGATCGGTTCTCTGGTTCCCAGTTGAACCGGCAGTTCAAACCTATTCTGGTTGGTTTGGTGCTCAACTGATTTTCAAGGCTGAGCCGCACCAGCCTTCAGACCGATTCACGGTTGAACCAGTCCGACCAAAAGAAAACAACATGATTGGTACCAACAGTATCACCCAATGACACTCACCCAAGCCAACAACTTAACCAATACTTGCTAACACATGTAACTCAATGCCTCCTCCAAAGTCCTCATTCTTTTTGTCCCAACTAGTCATTCCCCTCTAAGCAATTTACCTTATAGTTCTAAATCACCAACTATCAATAACTCTCTTTCATGACTCTCGTGTCACAAACAAACACAATAAATAATATCTATTGCTCTACAAATCACTTTGATGGTCCAACCATAATTCTCCACTAAACGATCCATTAAAACTCACTTATAATCAACTTCAAAATCTAAATGTCTAATATACCTCAATCAAATGCATGCATTAAGAAAATAACAATTAAATGCGCCACATGTATTGAGATATGGTAATCGAGTTCCTCATCGCTAGAAAATACCAACCATTATCTCCCACATATTATATCAACTATGCTTCAAAAAGGATCATTTTTGTTCGTTAACTTGAACTCTTTAAAACTAATATTTTTTTATAAAAGAGTTCTAATGATCTAGAGCCCCGAAATATTTATCTTCTTCTTACAGTTTTGCTATAACAATCACCTTCCATCACTATAGTAATGTGACTTGGAATGTCTTCCTCTCTTTCTACATTCTTTTATTTTCTCTGTGAACAATGTGACCACCATTCATTCCCCGTGACTTTTTTTTTTTATCTTTATTCAACTCTCCATTCTTCCATGACCTTTTCAACTCTCCATTATTTCATCTTTTTGTGCTTTCACCGATCAAATTGAGAGATCCCGATTTTTTCGGGGGATCTCTCATTCTAAATCTTTCCTTCAAGCGTTAGCCATTTTGTTTTCTGTGGTTTTTTCTCTTTTCTTTAATTTGTCTTGGTTGTATCCTTGGTTTTGAGACTATGAATAGAATTATTTTGTTGTTACAAAAAAAAAAAATCTTTTTGTGCTTTCACCGAGAACCATTCTAGTTTAATAAGTAAATTTGATGGAGGAATATTTTACTCTTGAGAAAGATCTGCCACTGCCACTTTTACCTCTTTGCCAATCAAACACAGTGGTTATGAAAGATCTTTCCATTAAGGGGAAATTTTTTTCAATATGGTGGAGTTCCTAGAGTTATTTTTATGAAAGTAGTTATTCGTCTATATTTAGCACTTTGCCTAGCTCAAACTTCTCCCATAGATGCTTTCAACTCTAACATTTGTGATTTAGCCTCAAAAAATAATTCTTGAGGTTTTCATCTCATCATCCCTAATGGCTTCACCTAGAAAGTCTATCGATGTTGTCACTAGCACCCAATAATTTATTAGTGAGGCAATCAACCTATGAAAAAGCCTAGTTTCAATCATCAAAAAGTTGAATACAAAACTTGCTTCTCACCATTTTCAATGGAGACACTATAATAGTCACCTTCCCAATAAAGATTATGATGGACTAACCTAGCCATCAAGTGTTTTAAAAATCATACATATCATGATTTTTGAATTATGTGAGCATTGCAAATGAGCATGTCCCCTAGTTGGAATTGTAACTTCAAATCTTAGAAAATTTTGTTGTTGAAAACGTTTTAGGGGAGGAAGAACCCCAAGTTCAATTAGAAGAGAAAGAGAAAACTTGGTTATTGCTTACTAACATAGCTTAGGGACATATTATATATGGAACTACAAGCCATATAATTAGTAGATAAATCCGAGCCGGGATAGCCAAGATGAAGCTTTACCTCAAAAATAGCTCGTTGTTGTTTGCCATTATGATGCTCAGGTCAGTCAGATATCAAGGGATTATATACTTTATTTTTGAAGCATGCTTTTAGAAAATATTTTGTCAAACTTTCACTTCACTGTCTAGTGATAGTGAAAACATATGAAGTGCTAGCAAATTATTTTAAGAGTTCACTACAGGAAATTCACTGAATACCAATCGTATTTCTGGTGGTCTTCTATCCGCCAGAAATATCGACGGCTATATTGGTAGTTTGACCGCCACTATTCACTGACAGTTGGACCGCCGGTACTAAACACAAAATTGTTGGAACTTTCGGAGGTCAAATGACCGTCAGAATTGGAGCCACTATTCTCTTTTCAAGACAACATTTATTCCGGTGGTTTGAAAACGGCCAGAAAATTGCAAAACCACTGGAAAAATGATTTAAACAGCCGAAAGTTGCCGCCGGTAATGAGTTATTTACTTGTAGACGTTGAGGCTTGACAATCCTAATCACACCACTTAAGAGAGAAGATGCCATTAGTAGTAATAATAATAATAATAATATAACAACAACAACAACAACAACAAATGTTTGCATGTTTTACAAATGTTAACTCATATAGGGGTTACAATTAAGCATTACTAAGCATTTTGCATTGATCTCCCTTATTTGCATGGTTGAATATATTTCAACAATATGGAAAAATATATAAGTTTATCATAATAATAATTATCAAGGCCTGGCTTCTATGACATGCTGCAAAGCCATGATACGAGTGAAGGCGCAGCGACTAAAACCTGCTTGAAGAAGTAAGCTTCTCCATTGTTTCTCTGTCCTCTCTTTCCCACCAACATAGGTCATCATCAGAATATCATAAGCTAACTTAATATGCTGCATATCTTTGCTATCATTTTCAGCTATCATCGTATCCACTATAATCAATTTTCCTTCTTCTCCAACAATGGCTTCTCGGCAACGCATTAATATCTCTAAAGCCTTTTCATCGCTCCAGTCATGTAGCACTCGCTGAAAATGGTGAAGGATTATGAAATAATTAGCAGTATTGTATGAGAAATCATTACTTACACGTCCTGCCTATAAATATTGACTCACCGAAAGGAGAAAAGCATCCGCAGGTGGCACAGAAACAAACATATCTCCAGCTTGAAACACAACTCCTTCACCCTCCTTCCCTTCCTTCACCACATGAGGCAAATCATACACAATACACTTCACCGCCGGAAAAGCCTCAACCACAGCTCTCCCCACATTCCCCGTTCCCCCTCCAACATCCACCACCACCTTCACGCCGGAAAACACCATCCCACGTCCCCTCACAACCGCCTGAATCATCGACCTCGTCGAGCAACTCATAGCGTCATCAAATCTCTTACTCAACCCTTCATCCCTCCCCGCCCATTCAAAAAACTTCTCTCCTCGCACCCTCTCAATCGGCAAAGCCATGCCTTCTTCCACAAGATAGGAATCTAAGCCATGCATGGCAGCAAGCATGTCTTCTTCGATGAGATATCTTACAACAGGAGCGTGGCTCTTCTCTGAACCTTCTCTGAGGTAGACTGAGGCGGCAATGGTGAGAGTGTAAGTTTCTTCGTCTGTTATGTTAAGCAGACGCATGTGAGCGAGGTAGCGTAGGATGCGATGGAGAGTGGAGATTCGTGTGGGAGGTATAGTTAACGAGGTTGCAAGCTCTGCTAGGGAGATTTGATGATTGGTGGAGGTGTGGGAGTGAATGGCGTCGAAGAGGCGGAGCTTGAGGGCGCATTTGAGGACCATGGTGTCCACAATGGCTAACATGTGGTTCCATATTAGAGCTTGGGATTGCAGGTCTTCTTCTGCGTGTAAAGCTTCCATTGAAGAGGTTTATAATGAGTAACAAAAGCCAAGTATTTATGCTTGATGGAGAAGCCATGCGAGTGCCAAACGAAAGAATCTAGTGGAGATAAAATGCTTCTAGCTGAATTTGTTGTTAGCTAGAAGTTAGGCGTGGCATCTTTTGTGGTTTAAAAAGACAAAGAAGGTATCTATGGTTGAGTTCACTGGATTGATTCGAGTGCTGCACTGCATTTATTTATTTTTATATATTTAGAAGAATAGCTGTGCAATGCTTTGAGGTGCATGAACAGATAATATTGACTTGTTTTTAAGATGATTTTATATTTTAATTCTATCAAAGTCTACTGCAAAATTTTAAATAAATTTATAATTGAGAATGCAACCACTGCCAAAAACTTAATGTTTCCGCATTAATGTTTCCGCATCAGTTTATAGTGACGGTTGTGAACCGCTGCTATAGATAGATATAGACAGTTGTTTTCCCCGCTGCTAAATTAATTACTAAAAATTTAATTTTTTTACCGTATTATTTTTAGTTGTAATAGTCCTAATGAGGGGATTGTGACTTTGGGCGATCAAGTATTTAATAAGAGTACACGTTTTAGATATCTTGGATCTATTGTTATCAAATTTTTTAAATTAAACGGGTTTTCGGGTTGACCCGGCAACCCGACGGGTCAACCCGAACCCGACCCGCTTCGGGTTCGGGTCAACCCAAACCCAAAAATTCCGGGTCGGGTTCGGATCGGATTTTTGGGTCGGGTCAAATATTGACAGGTCTACCACGTAGTGGGATAAAGGCTTGATGTTGTTGTTGTTGTACATTATTATTTTAAAACTACTGCATAAACTATTTTAAAAATTTCTCATTTTAATATCTCGCGATTTATCCTCTTCCTCTTGTGCCCTAGTTCCCGCTCAGATGTCAGTCTTGCAGGACCGTCTCATTCTCCTCCGACAGCAAAATCGCTCTCAAAGGCAAAATCCTTAATTTCTCCTCCACCCTTGCCATCGCTGGAGGCCAGAGCCGGAAAAGCTTGTGGATTTAACTTCTTCTCCTCCGCCGCTTCTAACAAAAAAGCACTGTGAATGTCTGATTTATTAGTAGTGAATGTTACAAGGAAAATGACTAATTTTAGATGGAATTTCAAAAAAATACATTTATGGTGGATTTATGACAGGAAAAAAATCCGAGCAAAACTCCTTTTCTTTTGTTGAAGTATCTTTTCTCCCCTCATTCTCACCTCATTTCTCTCTCTCTTCACAACCTTATCAATATGAAGTGTATCGCTACTATATACCGCTGCGTATCGAATGACACGACGCATCCTGATTGATCTCAGAACAGTCTGATAACCGCACATAATAATCTCTCTCCTTTGAAAGGGGTTCAGAGAAATTCAAATAAATCCAATACTATTTTTCTCTGTAATCCGAGCTCATTTTATCGGAGATTCTTCCGACAAATCTAGAACCGGAGACCACTTTATCACTTTCATAAAACAGCCATAAACCAAGTAAGACCTGTGAGCAAAAACCCTAGCATAATCCATATCATTGGCAAGCTTGATTAAAACATTAGCTTGATCCAACAAAGTCACCGAAAATTCCCCATATAACTTTAAAATCACGAAAAACCTACGGATTGAATCTAAAGAATGACGTTTAAGGGGAAATCTCCCAACCAACGCAAACTCAAAGGGCTTAGCTAGATGCAAAAATTCCTCTTCTGAAAACCACAGAGATGGCATTCCCCGATTCGAAGAAATGCAAAATTCCGGAAAAACATTCGAATCGACGGAACCAGAAAGAGCATCCTTAAAGGATTTAGGTTGCTTACCCGAAAGGAAACCAGGATCAAGCAATTTTTACGCCATTTAAAGCTTACCGCCGGCAAGGATGGCGGCGCAAGGGCAGAAGCCCTAAAAGGGCGAAACCCTAGCAGACGGAGAGACGGGAGCGAACATTCTTGAAAAAAAAAAGAACATTAGCCTAAGCCCGAAAATTAGGAATGTTGAAATTTATAAATATTATGAATTTCTAATGTACGCACTTAGTATTTTTCATTCAAATTCTACGAAAGCTTATTAGCGTTATGAATTTTCTATAGAAAATTCATATAATTTTTAAAGTGCATTTGATATAATTAACAATATCATGAAAATGGCATGAATGAATAATTTTGCCTATTAATTAGCTGCTGTCCATAAATCCATTAATTAGTTTCATGAACCGTTTAGTATTTCAGCATGTTTCACTTTATTTTCTTGTCTACTTAATTAATAAACTCCCATTTAAAATTATTACAGGTCCTTATTTTTCTTATAAATTTTTATATTAAAAAATTACTTTAATAAGCAGTAAGAAAGTTGTCCCAAAAGAAGCCTAAAATTATTACAGGTCCTTATTTTTCTTATTTAGTTATGAGAAAATTGAATAAGGATAGGCACTTTTACTCCTATTATAATATATAAATCATTAATATTTTATGCATATGATTTCACTGCTAAACAAAAAGGTTTTAGAAAATGTTCTATATATGCTTAAAAAATTAAAGTAAACCCTAAAGGAACATGTAGGTGTTCATCAAAAAACAATTTTGCCTTGAGTGTGACTAGGGGTGTCAATTTCGGGTCACGGGTCGGATTCAAGTTGGACCTGAAACTGACCCGAGTTCAAAACGGGTCGACCCTAACTCGACTCGGTTAGGTAAACGGGTCGGAAATGCGAACCCGGACTCAACCCGGCGGGTTGCCGAGTTGACCCAACCCGGGAAAGGCGGAAAGCTGGTCGCGCTAGGCGAGTACGGGTGTGAAGCAGTCGCGGGGTCGCGCTGCAGTGGCGTGGTCGGGTCGCGTCGCGAAGCGGTCGCGGGGTCGCGCGCGGAACGGTCATGGGGTCGCGCTGCAGCGGCGTGGTCGGGCTGGGCCGCGTCGCGGGGTCGCGCGGCAGTAGCAGGGCCGGGTTGCGCAGGGTCTCGTGAGGTTGTGCGGTAGCGGGGCAGATCCGCGCGAATAGGTTAAAACGGGTTCGCGGGTTGACCCGGCAACCCGTTGGGTCAACCCGAACCCGACCCGTTTTTCAAACGGGTCGTGAACCGCGGACATGCCCCCGCCTTCGGCGGGATTCGAACCCCGCCCACCCCCTCTCTCACGCGCTTCTTCCTTCTGCCAACTAGTCTGAAATGGAAAACTGTTATTTCTGTTACTTTTATATTATTTAACCTATATCCTATTAATTATAAAATCATTAATTTAATTTAACAAAAAATTTAAGTTATATATTCAATAATTTAAGTTATAATAAATTTAAATAATAATTTAAGTTATATATTCAAAAAATTTAAGTTATATATTCAATAATTTGTTATATATTCAATAATTTAACAAAAAATTTAAATAATAAATTTTTTTATTATAATTTAAGTTATTAAATTCAATAATTTAAGTTATATTTTAAAATAAAAATATTTAATTAAACTATGTATGTATAAATATTAATAATTTTACTCCACTTTGATGAGGAGTAAAATATGTCATGAATCAAACTATTTTAAATTTATATATAAAATTGAAAACTTAATTTAATTATTTAAAAACAAATAAATTAAAATATTTCAATTAACTATTAAATAAGTTATTAATTTTATAATAAATTAATTATTAATTTAGTAACTTTTTATATTATTATTTTTTTATCTTTTTATATTATTTTAAAACACTTTATAATAAATTATTGAAGTTATTAGTAAATTATTTATTATATTAAAATTGATTATAATAATTTATCAATTTATTTATTTCCATAAAATTTTTACTCCGCCGAAAAATCTGTCGGAAATTCTGTCGAAAAAATCAATCGGAAAAATTTAATCTTTATCCGCCGGAAAATTCCGTCGATAATGAGCAGTTTTCTTGTAGTGAAGAGATGAAAGGGAAGATTAAGATTTTAGTGGTGGTAAGGAGAAGCTCTTATGATGGTAGATGAAGAAGTTGTCGCAATAAAAAATGAAATATAGAAATAGCACCAATAATAATATTGTTGTCTCCACAACTGACCCCTATCTTCACAGTGAGTGGCATAGAGAAAATGATATCTCTATCCTTATCTTTTATATAAAAAAGGAAAAAAAAAAATATTTGATTTGCCCATTAGTAAGCATATCTTATTATAGTAAAATAAAAGATATTTTATTACCAATAGAAGAGAAGATTACAATCCATCACAAATAGAAGTATGATTTTGTTTATTTCATTATTATTTTTGCATTACTTTGTAGACTCTCAAAGTGTAGACAACTCAACTCATATCTCCTCACCAATCCAATCGGACCTTTTCTTAGTATGACACACATTAGTAAGCATATCTATTAGTATTACTAAGCCATGCCTATCGAAATTTCTTCTCATAATTACTTGATAGGGATTTATAAGACACATCCCATGAGCGAGGATACATGATCTAATAATAATTAGCTGACATGAATAAGGAATTGCTAACTTAACTTGGCTCTGGCCACCCTTTCCATCAGTGGCCAATCGCCCACCGCCGCCTATCATCACCTACTGCTGCCTACAGATGATTATCTTTGTAGCCGTCATCAGTTATCATCCACTATTGCTCACCACTGCACTTACATGCCACTGAATGTAACACCCACTAACCACTTCGAGTGATCATGCACGCATCGGAGATTCAAAAGATTTTACACTAAATTAATTTTACTTCAATTTATACATAAAAATAAATTTCTTGTATGGTGTACTCGAATAATCTTTTATCTTTTCAGCCGCACTTGACATTTATTTTAGATTATATTCTTTTTTCTCTACAAAATTTTTTTCAGCAAATTCAAAAATCCTAATTTTTTTATTAATTTTCAGAAGCAATACCCTTATCAACACAAACCGTGAATGATAGATACTTCAACCAAATCATTAAGCTTTCTTATAAATTGAGTAGTAACAAATAGGAACTTTCCTAAGATTGTGACAAATACTGACAAATTCTTTCACCAATATTTGCCTAACCAACAACTTGAATCGCATAAACTAAAAAGTTTTACATATTCTGAATTGACCCCGGTTCAAACTAACTTATGACAGCCATTTTGAACCATGAACCGGCGAATGCTCTGCATCAGCCTATCAGCCGGTTCAGACCGTGGTTGAAAGGTGAAAAACCCATGCGGTTGGCCGTCAAAATTTATCACCTCGACCGGCTTACCCCATTCCTTCAACCTCTCAGCATACTCCACCGCTCTGTCCCTCAACAAATCCTCTCCCCCGACCACCACCAGCATCGGTTCAAATTGAACCTCTCTTAACTCCGGTCCACCCGGTCCAAACGGGTTCGAAATCGGATCATCGGTCGTCGACCCGACCGGCATTGCCAGCCTCCAGAACCTATCGTTAACCTCTAAATTCAAAAAGGCATCAGGAGGACAAGTCGCCTCAGATCTCGTGCGCTGGGTCCCACCGAAGAACGGCATCAGTAGAACATATCCCCGGATCGAAACCGGTTCGAGTTCGGCCCGGCCGAGATCTGAACCGAACCGAACCGCGAGATGGTGCGCGATGTTCCCACCGGCCGAGTCGCCGGAAACAAAAACAAGAGAGAAATCCCCATCTTGAAGAAGGGGATTGGGATGTGAAGAGAGAGCTTGGGATCGGAGCCAAAGGATGGAGGAGAAGGAATCGTTAATGGCGGCTGGGAGGCGATCTTCGGGTGCGAGACGGTAGTCGGGGGAGACGATGATTGCGCGGAGATCTGCGGCGAGGCGGAGGCAGTAGTTGTGGAAATTGGGCCAAGTGCGGGATCCGATGCAGAAGCCGCCGCCATGGAAGTAGAAGAAGATGGGGAGCTTAGGGGGGTCGGTTGGGAGGCGGTGGCGAGGGCGGTAGAGGCGGAGAAGGAGGTTATGATTGGCATCAAACACGGCGTCGGCGAATTCTATGGATCCATCGTCTTCGACGGGCATGATGAAGCTTGGTTCGGTGCTTCGAAGGATGGAGCCGTCGTTGAAGACGCGGAGGACGCCGCGGCACTCTTCGACTACGAAGATTTCAGGTGGTTGGTTGGGCGCGGAGGAGGAAGACATGGTGCTGTGTTGGGTGGGACGGGACCAGTGGTAGCAGGGTGTCAAGGTTTATTTGTAGTTGGAGGAGAAATTATTATAATTTAATATAAATTTTTTGAACTAAAAATTTTATATTTAAAATTATTTAAAAAAAATATTAAACTGACGATTTTCTTATTGCTTCTTAAATTAGTGTTTTTATTAATTTTTTAATAGAAAGCTGATTTAAGAAGTAATAAAAAAGGTATCCCAAATAAAATTTAAAGATTTCACAAATTTGCCACTTTTAAAAAAATTTTGGACTAAAAAGTTATTGTAGAAAGCAATACAAAAGTTGCCCCTAACGAAACCTTAGTTCTCAATATAATCGAGTGGTCTTCGACATCCTACCCAACCCAATATTAAAGGAAATTTGAGAGGAGAAAAAGAGGAAGAAAGAAAGAGGAGATGTTACAGTCGAAATTTTGTTATCATAATGCATGGGAGATGAAGAGTCATGAGAGATTTCAAATGTTAACTGATGATTATGGTCAATTCAACAAGTAATCCTAAATGTAAAAATAAGAAACATAACTTTTGTATTATAAAAAGCGAATCCTTGGTTACGTAAGTGTATGCTAGTCGCCAATGCTCTCTTAAAAATCCACAGCTGAACATTAAGGTTATGTTTGGGATAGTTTTCTTATTGTTTTCTATAATAATTTTTTTAAAAGAATAATAAAAAAACAGTGGATAAAAGATGCCTGAAGGGAAGCCATAGCCTTTATTTGGGACAACTTATATTTTTCTATCTTTATTTTCTAAAATTCTTTTATCAACCAGAATTTCAAAAATGTTTTTTTTTTAAATAATTTTTTAAAGCAAAAGTTTAGCTATGTTCCAAACTCTATTTTCTACTAATTATTTTTCATACCACAAAATTGTTTCAAATGAAACCATAATTAAACACTTTAAGAAACCAATTGGCAGATCAAACAATCTCCACATTTTATGAGCTTAGCAAAAATAATATTTAAACAAAATAAATAAATAAAAAAACCCAAAAACGCCCAATTCCAAATTTTTAAGGCTTTAAAATATCCAAATTTTAGCTAATATTAATTATTTTAATATATAACTAATATTCAATATTTAATCACACTACCTAAAAAATATATTCTCTAGGGTTTCGTTTGTGACGACTTTCTTACTACTTCTTAAAACAATTTTCTAGCATAAAAAATTTGATTTTTATATCAAAAAACTGTTTTAAGAAGCAATAAGAAAATCATCCCAAACTAATGCTTTGTCTGGGACGACTTTCTTACTGCTTTTTAAAGCAGTTTTCTAGTACAACAATTTTAATTTTTATAATAAAAAATTGCTTTAAGAAGCAATAAAAAAGCCGCCCCAAACGAAGCCTAAATCTAAAATCATATCTACAAAAGCTGAACATCAAAAATAGTTATTTTCGATCAACATCGACCACCCACTTGATGAAATAAACAAGAGAACAAACATAAGAATGTTGGCATGTTGTGCCGCCCATCAAAATAAAACAAATTGTTCGAACTATAATATATTCCTGAATTGAAGTAGGAAAAGTAATGGAAAGTGATATAAGAAATAATGCAATGGATGTTATGTTGCATATTTAATTGGTTAACATCAAATGCAATGATTGACAACATAAAAAAGAGAACAAATTTAAGAGCTCCTCATAATTTTGTGTGTTAGAAATAGGAAATAAAGGATCAAAATAGAGGAATATTATTTCATTCAAAGTACAAAATAGCATCATCAAAAAAAATTCTTTTGTTATTTTATCTTTATAAAGTTATTGTATGTTAATTATTATCATGATTGGGGAAATCTAATTTGATTGGGTTATTCAAATCAGTTTAGTTCATAATAGTTTATAGAGTATTTTATTTTCTTGTTGTACATATATAAATAAAAGAAGTTCATAAGAGAAATGTCGTGATTTTTATGCTAAAATCTTCAAAAGACAAAAGGGAATGCCTCAATCAAAATAATGTACTATATAAAGGGTGAGAATCATGGTCAAGAACCAGCGATCGAGCAAAAATGGTAGGCATTGGTGACCGAGCAATGGCGGACAAGCTACAGAAGTTAGACGATGGAATTTAGATGATGATTGTGCAATTACAGTCAAACAATGACAAATATGATAAAATATTTAGATAATGATGGTTGAACAATGATAGCCGAGTAATAATGATCAGACAATGATAGTTATTGATGATGATCTTTTACATATAAGTGTGTGAACAGAATTCTAGAGTTCTTCATTTCTCTAAAGTCTCTCTAATTTTAGGTCAATGTCTCTTTCATGTGTAGAATGAGAGTTTATTTATAATATTATTATAAATACTTTTGTAATTTTAGTCAAAATCTCAAAATATGCCATTAAATGGCCCATGTTGTTATTTTTTAATATTTAAGTACTTTAATAATCTCAAAATTAAGCGAGCTTAGGCTCGTTGGATTTCCTTCATTGAAATGGTTATTTTGACTATAAGAACACAATATTCAAAGATCATTTGGGCATTCACTTAATATAATGAAATCACAACTATACTCAAGCGCTTGATTTTAGCTCATTTAGATTCAAAACAAAACACTTTGGCCTCATTTGACTCATTTTGTCAAAATGTTAATTTTTGTTATAAATTTGCTGAAATTAGAATTTGAACATGCCTAAATTTTATCATAAAAGTTTGCAACTCAAATATTACAATGAAATTTATGCTTAATCAAGTGGATCTCTCAATTATATATCATTTATCAAAATTTTTTAACATCAAAATACTATGTGATCTAAAAATAGATTTCGTCTTTACAAAAATTTATGGCAAAATATTATAATTTAAGAAAATCATAAAGCGCTATCAATCTCTAGATATCAGTGTGAATCTGCCCTAAAAGCTTTAAATTTAGTAAAATATATTATCTATGATAATTTTAGTCTTTCATAGAGTTGGTGGTCAATTGAAGCAAAATTTGCTGAAAATTTTTCATAATTGCTTGAAATTGGTCATAAAAACTCGACCAAAATATTTATTTTTAATAAAATGTTTAAAATATATTTTTCTTTTTGCAAAAAAATGCTAAAAAAACTTTAAAATTTTTTATAAGCTCTATTTTTTTTTTGTCTCTTAAAAGAGGCTTTACACTATCCTACATAGGTGGTACATAGTTCCTAGTTCTCAAGCTCTACTACATTTTAAAGAGGCCTAATACTATCATATATAGATAACAAACTTGAATACTTCTCTACAAAAAGCCCTAATATTATCTTGCACATGCATAGTTATGGATGATACCCGAGATTTATAATCCTTTCTGTAGGGCACCGATCTTCCTCTTAAAAAATAGTTGATTCTCATTTTTTTTTTATAATTGGATATGTGCGGAGATTTTTAAACTAATTTTTGGGATCCAATTTCTATTTTTTTCTTCAACATAGTAAATTTTTCTAGCCCGTGTCCCGCCAAATCCACCCGTAAGTAAAATCATATATGATGAGATGATGGGTTAAATATTTCAAATATTTCCTCACATTCTCACTCACTTAAGGGAGACGAGCTATAATTATTCTTAAAATAGGTATTTAGAAATTAATTGAGATTTATAATGATTCGATCCAGTGCAAATTGATCTGTTAGATATATTCTTTCGGAATCGATTTAATTTTTGTAAAATTTAATGGAATATATAACTAAATGTAATTTTAGAGTCATTCATTCAGATAGAAAATGATTTTATCATGTATTAGCCAAATTGGGCCGCACTTCATAGTGGTTTAGGCCTAAGACTTTGACCTAGGCTAGCTTATGGACACTAAGGCCCAGCCCACTAGGATGCTGTTTTAACTAGGAGCATTTTTTCTAACGCAATAAAACCATGAATTCTTTTTTAGGGAGAGTTAATTCAGGTTTATGGGTTGGGTTCATTTTTTTAACCTAAAAATGATCCGACATAAATATAGTCAATTCAATTAGTTTATTAAATGAGTCAAAAATTTCAACGATAATTAGACTCGACCTAACTTGAACCCAATCTGACACACCGGGAAGAATATTTAAGTTATGTTGGGTTAGTACAAACCTAATCTGAAACGGACATGTTATAAGTTTAGATAAGCTTTTCATTAAGATTTTGTTTAAGACAGCTTTCTTATTATTTTTTAAAACATGTTTTTAGTACAAATTTTTCTTAAACTTAAATTTGTTTAATTAGAAATCTGTTTCAGAAAACAGGAAGAAAATTATCCAAAACGAAGCCTAAAAATGAATTAAATATCTAAGTTCATTATTATTTTTAGATTGATCTGAGCTCGATCGAATTTATTTTGACTCAGTTACACAGACTCGAACCCTACCCGAATACTACACAAGTCAAGCCAAACCTAAAGTTTTTTTTGCATCAAACTCGAATCAGATTTTCATGTCAATCTAATATTAACACCTCTAACTTCTCTATCAAATACAAACTTTTGACCATCAATGTGGGCAGCTTGCGGTCGTTCTCTCAAATTAATTAGCTAAAAAATTACGTTGTTCTCTTTGGTTTCTTTGTTGAATGTTTTGATTATCAATTAAGAGGTATGTGTGAGTCCAAGCATTGTCTTTTAATTCTCCCGAAAAAAAAAAGCAAAATTTTAAAATGACATTATGTATAAATTTAATTATAAAAAATTGGAAAAAAATAAAATTTATCAAAATAAATCTAGTGGCCAGGTGGTGGCAGAGAAGTCGTGAATTTCTTTTTTTTTATTTTTTTAATTTTCTTAATGTTGATTATATTAAGTTTACCAATTAATACTATGTTAGATTTTTTTTTCTTTTTGAATTGCAATTTCAAAAACACGATTTTTTTGGTTAATAATAATAAAAAAATTTTAAATTTTATACTAGAAAGCTGCCTTAAGAACCAATAAAAAAACCCGTTCCAAACGAAGCCTAAGACAAACACATAACATATTCAAGATTTAAATCAAAGACCTCTAATTAATTGGTAGTCAAATTCATAGCTAAAAGATCAAAATGAGCTGCATTTAAGAA